GGACTTGGGACATGTGCTCATAATGAAAAAATCAAACCTCAAAACAACTAAGAGGGCCTCATGTAATTTCATTTTGTCTTCTTGTAATGCTGATGAACTGGTCAGTTTCTGGACCTTGGGTGCACTTTTTGCAAGGAACATCCTCCTTGCCCACCATGTCCCTATCACCATCTCTGTTTTAGCTGGGTGTCCTTTTCTAAGAACCAATGAGCAGAAACCTCCCTAGATGTTTCCTACCACATTTAGGGGTTGTATTAATATCCCAAGATAAGATTCCAACAAGACTTTTATGTTATATAACAGGACATCTCCATGGCCATGCAGCTTCAATTTATTGAAATTTTATATAGTCTATGTCATGTCCCTAGCCTGTTCCACATTTGCAAAGTGCTCAGACTAATGCATATTCTGAGATGAATAGCAGATCTCTCAAATTTCTACAATGGTCTCACTGCATGGACATTTCCCCATACTACAGACTTTAAGGAACATGAACACCACTGCCTGGAACACAGGTGTCGTGGTTTAACCCCAGGTGGCAACTAAGCACCACACAACTGCTTGATCATACACCCCCCAACCCCCCATGGGAGGGGGAGAGAACTGGGGGGAAAAGTACAACCAGTGGATTGAGATAAAGACAGTTTAATAGGACAGCAAAGGAAGAGAGAATAAGAATATACAAAACAAGTGATGCACAATGCAATTCCTCACCACCCACTGACCAATGCCCAGCCTGTCCCCCAGCAGTGATCGCTGCCCCTGGCCAACTCCCCCCAAGTTTCTATACTGAGCATGGCATCATATGGTCGGGAATAGCCCTTTGGCTGGTGGGGCTCAGCTGTCTGGGCTGTGCCCCCTCCCAGCTTCTTGTGCACCCGGCAGAGCAGGGAAAGCTGGAAAGTCCTGGACTTAGTGTAAGCACTGCTCAGCAACCAACTGCTTGATCATACACCCCCCAACCCCCCATGGGAGGGGGAGAGAACTGGGGGGAAAAGTACAACCAGTGGATTGAGATAAAGACAGTTTAATAGGACAGCAAAGGAAGAGAGAATAAGAATATACAAAACGAGCATCTACATTGTGTCCAGGTCCCACATGTTCCAATACATTCTAATTAATCACCACCACTCCTATGAAATATACACATAGCTATCATCCCCTTAGTCTATGGGCCATGCCTCTAAAATGTCTGTTGAGTTCCTTTAGTCCATGACTTTGGGCTCCATCTATTGTAACAGTCCTGGGCAGCAGAGATCATGTGTGGTGTTGGATTGTTGCATGCTGAAGCCAGTTCTGGTTCCATCACTGCTGCACTTTGCTTGGTTTCATCAAAGTCCATTATTCATTAATCTGGGCAATTCTTACTGTAATACCATTGATACGGCATTTAGCAACCATAGAAGTGATGACATACAGTATTATATGGCAATTAACATTGTTCCTTGGCTATTTTCACCCAGAATCAAATCCCCTTGAGGTACCCATCGGATTTCCCCATCCTTTCGCATTAGCCACCAAGTGCACCCAGGGAGACAGCTGTAGTGGGGACAGCCAGTGCGGAGTCCCCAAACATAAGAGAGTGATATGAATATCATTAATACCAGACCTGTGCTCTGCTGCTCGTATGGCAGTACAGATTTGGGCCAGCCTGAGTTCAGGTACAGAATCACTTTTCACCCAGATACCTTTGACTTGGCAAGATTACACAAGACAGGTTTTGTGCCACAAGTTTCTTTTCTACCACCTAGCTCACAGTGTACCTAGTCCAGTGCTGGTTACTGGGGGATACCTGCCACATTTCTCTGTGGGATTTGAGATCTCTCTTCTCCAGACCAAGTTGTCAAAACACAACAAAGTAATCAGTGTGACTCTTCCTGGAGTCCCCATTCATGCTATGTACTCAATTTTGGACAATGCTTTCTAGATTTGCAGTTGTGTTTTATTTTGATTTTCACTTTGCAGATTGTTTTTTGTGATCTCTTTGCACTTCCATTCCCATGCAAGTTTTGTTCATCACTCCTGCAGGCCTCATGCTGGGACATCAATGAAACTCCAGTGCTTGGTTTTCCCAAGGACTGCAGGGTTTGCTTTTCAATGATTTCAGGATTGGGCTGACAGGACCTGTGGAAAAAATGTAATGTAGAAAAAGAATAATAGGATTATTGTTCTCATCAAACAATAAAAAAAAAGGAGTTCCTGTTGTTCTTTCAGTGACCAGTGTATGTTGGCACTAGTCAGCCAAGACTGTATATACTAGGTCTGCATACTGCATATTCATGCATATTCGGTTGTGTGTAACTGTCCTAGTAAAAATGCACATTGCCATTGCCACTGCAGTGTTTTGCCACATCTTCCCCGCTTCTCTGGTTTTTTCACCGTAGATTTACCATCTTCATAATAGAACTCTGTGCCCATTCCCTGGTTGCCTGCCTTTGGCCATTTGGCTCTTAACTCCTTAAATATTTTTCTCCTTCTGTCAGAGAAAAGGCTTTACTATCACGAGCATCTCTCTCCTTTCAGGCCTCAGACTGGTGAATTCGTGCACTCCTGAAGCAGATGACTTCTGTCATTAACAGGGGGTGTGTTTCAGATGTATTTCCTCTTCTCCAGTGTCAAAGAAAAACAGACGAAGTATTCCATGTGACAACTGTCCCAAAAACCCTAGGTGCCTAGGTGGGAAAAGCAAGCTACACAAGGGCAGTAAAGAACCTTTATTTTTCCTCAGAAAAGGAAGATTAAAGAAAATGTGCCCCCTGGCCCATTAAATAAGATGGGAGAACTAGTGGCAATTGACATGGAAAAGGCTGAGGTACTCAACTTTTTTTTCTTTTTTTTCCCCTCAGTTTTCACTGGCAATCACTCTTCCCACATCTCTCAAGCCTCTGAACCTCAAGGCAGGGACTGGGGGAATGAAGTCCTTCTCATCACAGAAGACCAGGTTTCAGACCATTTTAAGAACATGAACATACACAAATCTATGGGGCCCGATAAGATGCATCCCAGGGCCCTGAGGGAATTGGCAGATGTAGTTGCTAAGCCACTCTTCATCATATTTGAAAAGTCATTGCACCCAGCTGAAGTTCCCAGAGATTGGAGGAAAGGGAATATCACAGACATTATTAAAAAGGATAATAAAGAGGACCCTGGGACCTATAGACCAGTCAGCCTCACCTCAGTGACTGGTAAGCCATAGAACGGATCCTCCTGGAAGCTATGTTGAAACATATGGAAGACAGGGACTTCATTAGAGACAGCAAAAATGGCTTCACCAAGGGCAAATCATGGCTGACTCATCTAGTGGCCTCCTACAGTGGAGTGACTGCATCAGTGGATAAGAGAAGAGCAACTGATGTCATCTACCTGGACTTCTGTGAGGCCTTTGAAATGGTCCCCCATGATGTTCTTACCTCTAAATTGGAGAAGTATGGATTCGATGGACAGATTGTTAAATGGATAGGGAATTTGTTATATCCAAAGTATTACAGCCAATGGCTCAATGTTTAAATGGAAACGAATAATGGATGGTGTGCCTCAGGGGTCCATACTGGGACAAATACTGTTTAATATCTTCATCAATGACATAGATAATGGGATGGAGTGGGCCCTCAGCAAGTTTGCAGAGAAGGCTGCTGTGGGACTTCATTGTGGCTTTTCAGTATATGAAGGGAGTTTATGAGAAAGAGGGTCTGTAGTGACAGGACAAGGGACAATGATTTTAAACTGAAAGAGGGTAGATAAAAGGAAGAAATTTTTTAGGATGAAGGTGGTAGGATATTGGAACAGGCTTCCCAGAGAAGTTGTGGACACCCCATTCCTGGAAGTGTTCAAAGTCAGGTTGGACAGGGCTTTCACTTGATCTAGTGAAAGATGTCTCTAGCCACATCACAGGGGTTAGTCTAGATGATCTTTGAATGTCCCTTCCAATGCAAATGATTCTATGAGTCTTAGCAGCTTTGCAGAAGGTGTTAAATTTCTATCTCAATTTACAATTTAATTTTATCAGACAGACCTAGTAGACCAGATGAAATTTGATGTATAATTTGGAATCATCTGGGAAGGAAGAAGAGAGGGAACTCAGCTGCAACCTTGCTTCACTTTATTAGATGAATTTCTGTCATGAGTTAAAAAACAGTACTATGAACAAGTATATATCTACTTATTTAAAAAAAAAAAACTAAACCATTTCCAAATGGGTTCTGACATTTTGCCAAGGACAGCATGGAGACAAGGATACAGACAGCAAGAGACAGGGGGAAATATGACATGTAGTCACAGATTCCTGGGCAGAAGCAGATCATTGTACGAGGTTCAACAAGGCCAGGTGCTGGGTCCTGCACTTTGCTCACAACAACCCCATGCAACGCTACAGGTTTGGGGGAGAGTGGCTGGAAAGCTGCACAGCAGAAAAAGACCTGGGGGTACTGGTTGACAGCTGGCTGAATATGAGCCAGCAGTGCGCCCAGGTGGCCAAGAAGGCCAATGGCGTTCTGGCTTGTATCAGGAATCGTGAGGCCAGAGGAGTAGGGAAGTGATTGTGCCCCTGTACTTGGCACTGGTGAGGCCCCACCTTGAATACTGTGTTCAGTTTTGGGCCCCTCACTACAAGAAAGGTGTTGAGCTGCTGGAGCACATCCAGAGGAGAGCAACAAAGCTGGTAAGGGGTCTGGAGCACAAGTCATATGAGGAGCGGCTGAGGGAACTGGGTTTGTTTAGGCTGGAGAAGAGGAGGCTGAGGGGAGACCTTATCGCCCTCTGCAACTGCCTGAAAGAAGGCTGTGGCAAGGTGGAGGTCAGTCTCTTCTCCCTGGTAACGGGTGATAGGATGAGGGGAATGTGGGATGGCAGGGTTAAGTTAGTGGTTGGACTTGATCTTAAAGGTCTTTTCCAACCTAAGTGATTCTATGATTCTATGATTACGGAGCAGGATTATACTACGAAGCTCTAACTTAATTTTATCCCATGAAAAAAATTAGAAACAAAAGCTCAGCTTTCCAGAGATGGACAAGTCATCAGGGACTGCATGGGGAGATGACTTGGTGAAGCTCAGGATTGGCCGGTAACCTCATGGCAGGGGTCTGCAAGTGGTAATAACTTCCAGGGGGATCCTATGATATAGTCAGATTCCCAAGGATCAAGCAGACTGCAGAACAGGATTTTCATGGCAGAGTGGGTTCAGGGAGCTCTGCAGCAGGTAGTGCTAAACTACTCTGTTAGTAACATCCTGGGGAGTTGCCCGTGTATCAGAGCGCAATAAAGCCTGCAGCAAATCTTACACCTTACCAATGTCTTTCCTTACCAGTGCAGGATAGAGCTCCCGAACTCTCAAAATCTGGGAATGACAGAGGACCTGACTGCAGAGTGCCCAGTTTCTCTCAGTGGCTTGGTCTCCCACAGCAGCCCAGTCATGGCCCCTGAACTTCCCTCCCTGGAAGGAGCAAACTGGCCTTAGGAAAGGCAACACCATGAACTTAGCCGTGGCACCTCCACTATACTCCAGAACTGTCTCCATAGCCCAGCCTAGGATACCGTCAAGTTCCTTGAGGAACAGGACATGTGTTACTGGTTTCAGCCCTTAGGATGTCTCCTTCAGTGTGTCGGTGTTTGTCTTGCCCCACTTGGGTTTCCTTTGGGCCTATGCTGAAAAGCTTGTGCATGAACAATGTGGCAGACTTTAATATTTTCATCTGCCAGTGAGGGGCCACTGGATCAGTGATTTCCCTGCAAGTAGATGCAACACCTGTATCTGTGGCCTAAGCAAAAATAACAACTGATTGTTGATTAACCTTACATAGTATCTTTAGGAGAGGATACATTATATAAAGCCTCTTGTAAGGCGGGGGAAAAAAACACCAAACAATGTCCATGAGAGGGCAGCAAAGGTTCAATCCTGGAAACTTTTTTCACCCTTCTTGATCATTTCCAGGTCGAAAGCCAGCTACCGAACGATTTTAGTTAAATACTGTTTCTTGTTTCAACAGTAAAACCTCAGAAGATTTTCCTCCCCAAAAGAAAGCAAAACCAGAGTTGAATAGGTTCCCCTGAAGGACAAAACCACAATTCATTTTACGTATATAATTTTTCAAACTCTCTAAAAAATAGCCACGTTATTGTCTATGCCACCACAAGACTGGAAAGTACTGTAAAAATATTCATCCAAAAGAGCCGGTTTGCCTTAAAAAAATTAAAGTGGAGCACGCAAGGGTTAAACTCTCGATTAGTGTACTGTTGCTGCTAACCTCTGCTAGAGAAAAAGTTCAGAAAGGGCGGGAAACGGAGATGATACAGAAATTCAAAGGGGGGGAAGGGAGGGAAGTGTAGAATTTCTCAGAAACATGATTGGACAGATTTTGCTGCAAGATGCTCCATTAAAAGAACATGAGGACCCGCTATTGAAAATACTGGAGGCACACGTGAGAATCATTGCCACCAGGTGAAACCGCAATGCATAACACATACCTGTATTTTAAAATAACAAAGTAAAAAAGTAGAGAGCAATTTAAGTGATTCAGTAACAGGGATGCCAGATTTCTGTAATCAAGACTTTATGTCTAAATGATCACTACATATCAAAGATTTAAAAATATATATATAAACTATTATACACACAGGCCCAACGCCCTCGCTGTCTGAAAAGAAACCAAACCTACAGAAAAAGGGGAGCAACAGCGAACCGCTTCTGTTCGCTGAAAGAAGGATTCTTTCCGGGAAGGAAAACTCGCACGAAACCCGCGGTTCTGTGCTGGCGGGGTGCGCGCTAAGGACGGCGGGGAGATGCGGCGGGAGCGGGGCCCAAGCCCCGCCCCCCTGGTCCGCAGTCCCCAACCAGGTCGGCTCCCACCCCATAAAGAGCGCGGCGCGGCGGGCGCGGGGCAGAGCTGGGCGCAGGCGGAGCGAGCAGCATCAGCATGTCCGGGGGGGGCAAGGGG